CGGTGATGAGTCAAAGAATGAGGATGTGGTCAGGTAATGTTGTTGGTGAGTCTGTGAGTTATGAGGACATGTGGTGAGTGGTGAGTATGAGGACATGTTGTGAGTCTGATTATGAGGACATGTGGTGAGTCGTGATTATGGGACATTGGTGAGTCGTGAGTTATGAGGACATGTGAGTCGTGAGTTATGAGGACATGTTGGTGAGTCGTGAGTTATGAGGACATGTTGGTGAGTCGTGAGTTATAAGGACTTATGTTGGTGACTCGTGAGTTATGAGGACATGTTGGTGAGTCGTGAGTTATGAGATGGTTGAAGTCGTGGTTATGAGACTGTTGGTGAGTCTGTGAGTTCTGAGGACATGTTGGTGAGTCGTGAGTTATTGTGGGACGTGAGTCGTCGTGATTATGAGACATGTGTGGGTGATCGTGAGTTGATGAGGACATGTTGGTGAGTCGTGAGTTATAAGGACTTATGTTGGTGACTCGTGAGTTATGAGGACATATTGGTGAGTCGTGAGTTATGAGGAGTTATGTTGGTGAGTTGGATATGTAGGTATGAGTCGAAGAAGATATGTTGGTGAGTCAAAGAATGAGTTATGAGTCAGGAATATGTTTTTGGTGAGTCGTGAGTCAAAGGACAAATGCTAGGTGAGTTGGATATGTAGTTATGAGTCGAAGGTGTTATGTTGGCGAGTAAAGGGATGAGTCGTGAGTCAGAGGACAAGTGTTTGTAAGTGGGTAATGTAGTTATGAGTCGAAGGAGATATGTTTGTAAGTAAAGGAATGAGTCAGTTATGAAGTTATAAGTCGGAAATATGTTGAGTTGTGAGTCGGTGTTATGTTGGTGAGTAAAAGGGTGAGTCGGATATGAAATCATGTGAGGTATGTTGTCGAGTTGTAACTCTAAAAGACACATATTGGTGAGTAAAGGAATGAGTCATGTTGGTGAGTCGGATACGAGTTATGAGTCGAAGGAAATATGTTGGTGAGTAAAGGAATGATTCACATGTCAAAGAACAGATTTTGGTGAGTTAAATGTGAGTAAAAAATCGGAGAATATAGACTCCAAGTTATAAGTTATAAGTCGTAAGTTATGAAAGATCTGTAAATAATGAGTAAATAATATGGAAATTTGGTACTTTGTTCTATAAAGGATAAATGATGTGAGTTATAATATTACTGATATAACTTTATGTTTTGTTGTTTATGTTTTTTTTTTTTTTTTTTTTTTTTTTTTTTTTTTTTTTTTTTCAAAGAGTACCGTAAGCATCCTTGTGCTGTTGTCCAAACTACTTGAAATACTTTATATGTATTGTTTTAACTCTTGAATTTGAGTAGCAGTACAATTTTGTGTGTGTGTATGTGTTTCTAACTTTTATAAACACACACACACGCACATGCATACACACACACGAACACACACATACACATACACATATACATGCACATACACACCAACACACACATACATCTACATATACACATACACATAGACATATGCATGCACATACACATACACATAGACACACACACACACACATACACACACACACACACACACACACACACACACACACACACACACACACACACACACACACACACACACACACACATACACACACACACACACGCATATATATAGATGTACGTGTGTGTAAGAGCTAGAAATACTGAAAAAATATATTTATTCATATATTTATTCACATATGTATGTGTTTGTGTGCCCGTGTGTAGGTGTGTGTGTTTATTCATTTATTCCTTATACAAACACACCCACTATCCGATTTCAATAATGTATTTCTTTATACAACCACACACCCACTATCCGATTCCATTAATGTATTTCATACATTTCCTTATACAAACACACACACTATCCGATTCCATTAATGTATTTCATACATTTCCTTATACAAACACACACACTATCCGATTCCATTAATGAATTTTTTATACATTTCCTTATACAAACACACCCACTATCCGATTTCAATAATGTATTTTTTATACATTTCCTTATACAAACACACCCACTATCCGATTCCATTATACCGAACTGCCCTTATCTCCAAATCGCAATCCTTTCCGTACAGCGAAGCCCATCAGAACCGGCCAGGGCAACCTCCTGTCGCGTCCGGGTGCCCTGGGTATGATGGGCAGGTCACCGCCGCCGAACCCACAGCAACTTCGCTCCTATGTCGGTACGTGTGGGGTGTGGGTGTGGGTGTTGGTGTGGGTGTGGGTGTGGGTTTGGGGTTGGGTTTGGGTGGGTGGGTGTGGGTTTGGGGTTGGGTTGGGTGTGGGGTTTGGATGTGGTGTGGTGGGTGGGTGTGGTGTGGGTTGGGTGTGGAGTGTGGTGTGAGTATGGATGGTGTGTGTTAGGTATGAGTTTGAGAGTGAGAGTGGATATGGGTTGGGTTTGGTTGGGTGTGGGTATGGGGTTGGGTGTGAGTGTGAACGTGGGTTTGGGTGTGGGTTTAGTTCGTGTGTAGGTTTGGGAAATGGGGATGTGAGAGTTGGGTGTGTGTGTGGGTTGGGTTTGGGTGTAAGGGTGAGTTTGTGTGTGTGTGTGCGTGTGTGTGTGCGTGTATGTGTGTGTGTGTGTGTGATTGTTTTATTCCCTAACTTTTTTATATACATGGTTCTGTATTATAGATTTTCAGCATTATTTCCCATATATTTAGATGTCCATTCATTTTTTGAGCTTTCAATCTTCTTCAAAATTGACTTGCTTCATATACCAGTGTTGAACTTTTTCCCCATCAAATTCCCAATAATTAAAAAAAAAAAAATCTTTACACACTGTTTAGAATATATAGAAAGATAGATAGATAGATAGATAAACAGATAGATAGGTAGATGGATAGATAGATAAACAGATAGATAGGTAGATAGATAGATAGATAGATAAACAGATAGATAGATAGATGGATAGATAGATGTTATATATCTGTCCTTGTCAAGTTTCCAAACATTTTTTCATATATTATATTGTAATTTCATACCAAAATTTATTTATTCTCCCCCTCTAATCTTCCATGAAAAAATTACCCATAATTGCCTTCAACTTCCACCAACACATCCATCCCTTTGCCTAAATCAAAGCCCGAAATTTACCTTTATTTCCCTTAATTTCATCGTAGTCTTCGTTATATATTTTCTTTTGAATTCCGGATTTACCCTAATATTTACCTTAACCCGAAAATAAAATCTATTTCCCCTCATTTTCTTGACGAAATTTTCCATCCATTTTCCTTTCATTTCCAAATTTACCAAAATAATTACTTTTACCCAAAACTTACCTTTATTTCCCTCCATTTTCCTCACGAATTCACCCATCTACTTTCCTTTAATTTCCAAATTTACCAAAATAATTACTTTTACCCAAAACTTACCTTTATTTCCCTCCATTTTCCTCACGAAATTTTCCATCTACTTTCCTTTCATTTCCAAATTTACCAAAATAATTACTTTTACCCAAACCTTTATTTCCCTTCTTTCCTTTATCAGAAATTTACCTTTATTTCCCCTCATTTTCCTCACGAAATCTCTCATCTACTTTCCTTTAATTTACCTACATTTACCTAATATCTCCTTCTAACGCGATTCTTCCCCTCTCTCCCCCTTCCAGCCACCAGCAGTTAAGACAAGCAACGGGACTAAAGGATGGAAGAGATAACGAGCGATAACAAGCGATAACGAGCGACGTAACGTGAACTAAGAATACAAGACGAGCCATTGTGGTTTCACCCTTAACCCCACAGCTTCAGAAGTCTGAAGTGTGTGCCTGGGTTCTGAAAACAGGTCAGGTCATGTGCATTATGACTTGACACACACACCCCAAAAAAAAGCCCAAAACACGAATAAAATGTCTATAAAAAATCATACCAAAAAAAAAAAAAAGTTTAAAAATGAGAAAAAAAAAAAAAAAAAAAAAAAGATTATGATTTTGATTTTCAGTGATTTTCGGAAAATATTTTCTTTTCCTTCCTCCACCCTCCCCCCCCCTACCCAACCCCTTATTACCCAAAAATATTTACCCTACGTGTCCATTTATTTCACACACCCTTACCCCTCTCCCCCAAGCTACTCACCCAGATCCCAAATCTGACCCACCTACCCCCACACCCTTCCCCCACCCCCTATAAAAAAAACAATCTATGTTATTTATCCCTTTTTTTAAATGTATGGTAATAATAGCACCCAAAAACTGTGATTTATCTAGTATATTTTGTACCACTGCATAGGCTGTTCCTTTCAAAGACACATTGGTACCACTGTATGTCCTTTTTTATTATTTTTTCCCCTTCACATGTATAGACCCTTATATAAGGATAATTTACAGTGCTACATTAATCCCTATTGTTTATACACATATATGAATATATTTAAGACTATTTACCAAACCAGTGATTTTATGTCTACTCATGGAATTAATATAGTCATTTTACTATAGCTAGCTTTAATGGTTGATTTGCTACTAAATATATGCACGAACTGTATTTAAATTAGGTGATAAGTGGTCCTTGGTCAATATTTGTTAATGTTCGAATGGTAAAAAGAGATAATGTTATTTAAAAAAAAGGATGATGAAGATGAATAATGATAGCATGGTAATTCAGAGGAAATTCATGATGATAATGATGATGATAAAATAATAATGATGATGATGAAACATGCAAGTGAATGAAACTTAAAAACAAAAACAAAAAATCCAATGCATGGTACATGAATATCTGCAACATTTT